CCACGAAGGTCACAGTACCCAAACACCTAAACCGTTTAAAAGGTAAAACCATTCAGTTTGCACTCATTTGACGTTTGACCATTAGGTTAAGGTAACAGTGACCTAATGACATAACAGTGCAAATCGGCTGTGGGTGATGCAGGTATACTGCAAGATTCATCAAGATATCTTTAAAAATTTAAAAGTGACGGACCTGAATAAGCGTGACTGAAAAGTTGGCACTCATCGACAATGACCTTGAGGTCATGGTTATATTGACCTGATGACAATGCTCTGCACATCGTCTGTGGGTGATGTAGGTATCCTGCAGTCATTTGTAACGGTCAAAAAGTACCTCACTGTCCCACTGCACTGTGTGTTCTCGTGTGTACTGTCACCTCCCCTCATTTCTATTCAGGATATAACGACGTCAACAAAGGGCTATATTCGTCTTGCCAACCTGCGAAATAGTCACGTTACTGTTACTGAAAGCGTTATTAATACGGACGGCAATCGTAATCTCCACATTCACCCCAGAACTGTAAAGAACCGACTGCGCGAGGTTGGCCTGCAAGCTCGCCATCCTTAAGTTTGTCTGCCTCTCAATCGTGCACGTCGCGCGCGTCGTATGGCTTGGTTGACTGCACAAGCTCTCAGACGATTTCCAATGAGGTAATGGAGACGGGTCTTTATCACAGATGAGTCCCGGTTCACTCTTTTTTGTGTCTGGACAGTCGACGTCGTGTACAGCAACGTCGTGAGTAACGCTTTGCAGACGCGTGCGTTTGTGGGAGGGATAGATTGCTCGGTTATGGTTTTGGGAGGGACATCTCAAGGGGTAAAGTCACCATTGAATGTAGTAGCCAGAAATAACCGCCGTAATATATAGGGATGAAATCCTCCGCTCGAATGCAGTCCCATTAGTGCAACAGCATCACTTCACTTTCCAGCATTATAATGCCCGACACCATGTAACCAGAGTTTTACCAAGACTTTCTCGCAAACCATAACATTAACCTAATCGACCTGCTGCCGTACAGTCCAGATTTGTCCCAAATCAAACATCTGTGGGAAGAAATTGACAGGGGGAAGGGGGAGTCAGATTCCTCCACTACTCCCGACCAACAAGGACTGTCATCTCCTTGAGAAGGATTAATGAACTGATGAATTCCATGCACAAGAAAATCATGGATGTGACAGATGCGCGAGGAGGGCATACGAGATACTGACGTATCAGTCCATTTCACTTTCAAATACTGGGTGGTACCGTGAAATGTGCTTCAGTTCGTCATGAATTATCGGTCAAATCATAAGAAATTAGGGTAATTTGTTTATCAAAGAATATTGTATTTGATATTCAAATAAACAACATTAAATCAAATCAAAAGTTATCCATGCGTTTCCATATCCTTTCAATATACTTAACAGTGAGACATGGGATTCTATCTATGTGGAAAAGAAACATCATGAAACCGAGAAATGTAACATCAATATAAGTTGTATCGAAGTAGCTCATGATGATATATTTTAGTATTTCATAGACAATAGATACACATTTAATATTAACAAAATAACTACCTTGCAAACATACTCTATCAATGCTACGAGTTATAATTATAGATTTAAAATTATGATAAAAGTTTAAAACAATACATAGGGAACAAAGTCAACTTCAATTAATTATCAAAACCAGCTCAAGATGCTCAGTCAGTGCTGAAAATTATCTAGTGAAAGAAAAAACAATATTACACTATGTCAAATTAAAAATAATGCTAGCAAATTGATCTCTTTAATGACCATCTATTATAATCTGTTGCATGTGAATTTGGTTATATGCAAGAAACAAGTCATCATAACTTCTTTGTATGTACCAGCTACAACAATCACAGACGATAACTCTCAGTTTATCTTCTCAGTGATAATCACTCATACTATACACTGCATGCTATACGAAATGGTTGGTAAGTAATCTGACAATGAAACTAATAAACAATGTTTCAACCATTATCGCTAACTCAAAAATGTTCATATACATAAAATTACTTATTAATAAATAATAATGTACTAACATTTTAAACATGAATAATCCAGTTAAAAAAACTTCTGACTTATAAGATGCTTAGTGATCTATTACCGGCTGTTATCAATAGCATTACACAGTTACAAATATACACGGTGTAAATATGATATGCTCGCTTAATAAATCAATATGGACATGTATTTAGTATTTAACAATAAGTATTGTATAATTATAATTTCATCATATTATAATATGAATGTTAATATACCCTACAAGATTGGCATAACTTATTCATAATATCTAATGTAAATAAGATTAATATTTAACTATCTACTGTCACTTTGTGTGTATCTTGAATTCCTAGGGAGGATCTAGTTAAGGACGATGGTTAATATTGACCAATTACCCTGATGAGGTCAAAACAGCACAGATTGACCTGTGATTTCTATAACCAATTTGAGTTATCTACCCTATACCATTGACTTGCACATTGATAAATTGATACATGTATACTGTTACATATGGATAGCCTGTTGTTCGATCCTATTCATATACCATCATGAACTTCAATATAAGTAATCATTAAATACAGGTTATAATGATTGTCGACTACAGTAAAAGACACTAATAATACGTTCCCAACCTAAATTTGCGATTTAAAAAAAAATGTGAATATATCACCTCTTCATTCTTTGAATTAGAATGAACTAGTATTGCCAAGTTCAGGAAGCGTTGTTTTTAAAGTTGTGCCTATGGGTATGTTACTTCGTCCATTTCCTGGAATGTATTCGTTTCTGCTCCAGGCATATTTTTCATTTTCGTCTGCATGTTCTCTTTCCATATTCATCATCTTTTGATCCGTTTTACTTTCTGCAAAATTGACACGAAATATTAGTAATGTTGATCCATTTATATAATAAAAGTCAAGTCATGCTTAAAATGTTCGCTACCCCTGCAAGTTTAGAGGAAAGAACAGATCTGATGTGCCCTTCTGAATGGGGAACAAAAGTAACAAGTTACATAAATTTATCTGCAGCCCCCATTGCAAAACATGGGATCTCAATTTATTATTTCTTGTTTCTCTACTTTTTTCGGCGGTATCTCCAAGGCACCCGTTTTCAAATGACCATGGATGTTGCTGGTACGTCAAGCCCAAAAGTCTGCTTGGTAATATTACCCCTTATACCACCTGCAATACTATTTGAAATATATAAAGAAAGTGGATAACACACATAATTGATGACTATATGATCATCACCCCATTAGCGCTAGACAGGAACATATTGATGCGTGATGTCTCTAAGACACAAGAATATCAGTAAAACTGATGGATTTTGCTCTCCGAAAAGATCACCGAAACTTAAATGAAAGACACGTGTTACATATTTTGACCTAAATTTTATCATGTCTGTCACGATGGTTATCTCTGAAATTACTAAACTGTGTAAAGTGACTGAACTCAAAAATGGTATGCAGCAAACCATATTGTCATTCTTAATCTACTTACCAATCACCTTTTGACGCTGACCATTTGACTAAGTGAGATTAAGACCTCGGACATACTAACCCCAAAATTGTACTCGCTCTATAAAATTTCAAAGAGCTACATTCTCCTGGTCAAAAGTTACGGTTAGGACAATGAATTTGACTTTGGACCTCAATGTGGCATTGATCTTTTGTGCAATGACCAAATATGGAATGCGACACACTGCCTTTCAATCCTACAATCATGTGTGTCCCTAAATTTCATCTAGATAGCTTTAGCAAATCAGAAGCTATGGTCCAGACGATGACTTTATTTGACCTAGAACTTAATGAGATTTTGACCTTGAAAGTATAGACCACAAAAGTGTATGCGACAAACCGCCTTATCATCCTGCATAATTATATCCCTAAAATATAATTGAGTTATCTTAAGCGAGTGAATGATACAGTCCGGACAATGAATATGCCCTTCGACTTAAATTTGACCTTGACCTTTGGCAAACAGTCCAAAAAGATTTTGTCAGCCTGCATATCCCTAACATTTCATGGAATTATCTTCAGTGAGTCAAACGCTATGGAACCAAAGGGAAGAACGAAATAACGCATGGATGGACGGACGGACAAAGCGGCAACTACAAATGTACATGCTACCCATATATATTTTTCGGGGAGCATAAAAGTCTGAATAAATTTAAGGTAACTTATTCTCCATATCATATTTTGTTAAGCTGTTCTACTTATATTTGTTGCACGGTATATATTCTACCGTCTTTAAACTTATAAGTCAACTTGACCCAATATAACTTTGTAACCGGATTTGAGTCGTTTTCTTGTTAATATTACTTGTATTTATGTAAACACGGGTCAGTACTTGTGGTTTTGTGTATATGTCCAGCCACACAATTCCTATATAATGAAAATAAATGAAAAATCTCTCCTGCAATTTGTTTGAGATTTGGCTAAATTTGGCACAATGGTAAGACGTAGTAGCTTCTGGCCATGTACATGAGAGAAACTACACATTTAAAATTTTAAACAGATACAGTATACCAACATTAATAATACTGCACAAAACAGCTGTTTCGTCCTTCTAGGGCTCATCGGTGATTTCAAATCCAAAGTGTATCAAACTATTGTTAACACAGAGGCGCAAGTGCGTTTACCCTATAACTTTATGAATTTAAAAATCTCGTGCCACTACTCAAAAACGATAACTGAGGCCACCAAGGTTACCGCAAACCTCGGGGACTAAAATATCCACCAGCTGAGTTACCACCCTGCATCTTGAAAGATGGACGTACAGCAGCACACGTCATTTAATAATTGAAGTTACATTTTTTAATTAGGTTATCATTGGAGTTGGAGTTACTCTCCTTAAACCTTTCTTTGTTTTGTGGGTTATTTCTGTATGATTGCAATGTAAATATATTACTGACTTAAAACCATGAGTCTAATGAGGTACACTTTATGATCAAAAACATAAACTTTAATTACTACATACATGTATAAATGTTCGTGTTTAGTCGCATCAAGAAAGGAAGTAAGCGATTGCCTAATGACCGTGCTTTCTGACGAATTTGCGTAGATTGGTCAATCTGGCAGAATGATAGGCCATGTGTATGTTTAATATTTTTTGGGTAACCGAGTCACCATCTGCAGCAGAAGAAAGATATTTGAATATGATTGAATTGAAATGTTGGCAGTAAATTTCAACTTTGCTTGATAACAAAAGCATTCTTCATGTACAGTACTTGCTTTTTGAATTACTGCAATTATTTAACGCTTTAACACCCAATGGTTTCAATTAGAGATATGCAATATTGATCAAGACCGTAAAGAAATATAATTAATGTACTGGGTTTATCATGGTAAACAGAGAATTAATAATGAAATACATATTATTATATTTGGTCTCTTTCCATTCGAACAAAAAACAGGGCTTCTGCCTTAAAATTTAAAATGCCCTGTTTTGGAGTCGAGGATGATTGTAGATTACCTTAAAAAAAGTTGCATGTCGAGACCAAGGTATTTACTGTGTCAGGTTTTCTTTCGAGGTTTTAGTTTGTTAACCTTTGGGAAAAAAGGCTGCCCTCCTGTTTGTTGTTTAGCTTCCCCCAATTCCGTACGGAGTACAGCTGTAAAAGATTCAAACACTGACATTTTAGCTCTTTTTTCATTTTTCAACTAAGTTATATCTCTGTATACTTAATTCGTTCATTAAATATTTGTTCAAAATTCATAATCTTTTGTCACTGGCAATGATCGAAATAATTAATTGAATAACACGTGCCCTATTTTGGAGTCCAGGATGATCGTAGATTGACTTGAAAAAATACCTATATGTCTGTGTACTTAACTCATTCATTGAATATTTGTTCAAAGTTCATAATTTGGCGATCATAATCTGATTGTAGATTGACTTGAAAAAATTGTTGGATTTCGAGACTGGTATTTTCTGTGTCGGGTTTGCTTTCGAGGTTTTAGTTTTTTAACCTTTGGGAAAAGATGCAGCCCGATTGAGTGTTCTTTTTTGTGTGGTTATTATGTTGTTTGGGTCAATGTTAATTTATCTATCGCCATATTGAGATATTACATACCTTTTTGTTGTTCAGATTCCTCCAATTCAGCGCGGAGAGTAGCTGCAAAAGACTCATACACTTATATTTTGCTATAATTTATAGGTCTGTGCACTTAACTCATTTATTTAATATTTGTTCAAAGTTCATAATCTTTTTCCACTAGCAACGATCAAAATAATTTATTGAATGCTTTGTGATGTTTTGAATTGATTATTCGAGATCAACATATCTTCTTATATTTCATTGAATTATCTTTAGCAAGTCAGAAGTTATGGCCCCGAATGGACGAACGGAATCACGAACGGTCGGATGAACAATGATAATCTTTTGCCACTGGCAACGATCGAAATAATGAATTGAATGACAAGTGCCCTATTTGGGAGTCGAGGATGATTGTAGATTCACTTAAGGGGGAAAAGACCTAAATGGTTGCATTTCGAGACTGTGGTTTGCTGTGGAGGATTTAGTTTTTTAACTTTTGGGAAAAGATGCAGCCCGAATGAGTGTTCTTTTTGTCGGTGGTAGTTATTTTGTTGGGATCAATGTTTATTTATCTATCGCCATATTTAGATCTTTCATACCTTTTTGTCGTTCAGATTCCTCCAATTTCGCGCGCAGTTTAGCTATAAAAGAGTCATACATTTATATTTTGCAACTTAGTTATATGTCTGTGCACTTAACTCATTCATTAAATATTTGTTCTATTTCATGATCTTTTTATACTAGAAACGATCAAAATGATTTAATAAATGTTTAGTGATTGTTTTGAAGTGATTATTCGAGATCAACATAGAAATAAAATAGTGTAAAACATAGTAGTTAACAGTCAATTGAAGAAAGTGCTTCTTTGAAAATATCTCTGAATGAGAATTCAGAATATGCAGCAAACCATACTTTATTCTAAATCCACTAACCTACTTACCATTACAGATATTCAAGTTAAGACTTGGACAAACAATTTGACCTCAGAACTTAATTAGACTCTGACCTTGGACGTAAGGAACTTTTTGCCGTTCTAAAATTATCTATACAATTTCATTGAGCTTACTTCTCCGGTTCAGAAGTTATGACCAGAAAAGTACAGTTAATTTTTAACCTCAACGTGACTTTGGCCTTGGGTGTATAGACCCAAAATTACTGTGAAACACACTTCCATTCAAACCTACATATATCCCAAAAAATGTCATTTAGATATCTTCAGCAAATCGGAAGCTATGGTCCGGACAATGAACTTGACCTTTTAACTAATAAGATTTTGACCTTGAAAGTATAGACCTCAAAGTGGTATGCAATATACTATCTTGCAATTCCACATATACTCTTACACTTTCATCGAATTATCAACAGTATCCTTTGGTAAATAATTTGAGCTTGTACGAGACAGACTGTCCCGTCGTCCAGCATATCTTCTTAAATTTCATTGAATTATCTTCAGCAAGTCAGTAGTTATGGCCCCGAATGGACGAACGGAATCACGAACGGTCGGATGAACAATGATAATCTTTTGCCACTGGCAACGATCGAAATAATGAATTGAATGACAAGTGCCCTGTTTGGGAGTCGAGGATGATTGTAGATTCACTTGGGAAAAAAACCAACTAAATGGTTGCATTTCGGGACTGTGGTATTTTCTGGGTCAGGTTTGCTGTGGAGGTTTTAGTTTTTTTTTAACTTTTTGGAAAAGATGCAGCCCGAATAAGTGTTCTTTTTATCGGTGGTAGTTATTTTGTTGGGATCAATGTTAATTTATCTATCGCCATATCGGGTTCTTACATACCTTTTTGTCGTTCAGAATCCTCCAATTCCGCGCGCAGTGTAGCTATTACAGAGACATACACTTATATTTTGCAACTTAGTTATATGTCTGTGCACTTAACTCATTTATTAAATATTTGTTCAAAGTTCATAATCTTTTTACCAACGATCAAACTAATTTATTGAATTTTTTGTGATTGTTTTGAAGTTAATATTCGAGATCAACATAGAAATAAAATAGTTTAAAACATAGTAGTTAACAGTCAATTGAAGAAAGTGCTTCTTTGAAAATATCTCTGAATGAGAATTCAGAATATGCAGCAAACCATACTTTATTCTAAATCCACTAACATACTTACCATTACAGATATTCAAGTTAAGACTTGGACAAACAATTTGACCTCAGAACTTAATTAGACTCTGACCTTGGACGTAATGAACTTTTTGCCGTTCTAAAATTACCTATACAATTTCATTGAGCTAACTTCTCCGGTTCAGAAATTATGACCAGGAAAGTTCAGTTAATTTTTAACCTCAACGTGACTTTGGCCTTGGGTGTATAGACCCAAAATTACTGTGAAACATACTTCCATTCAAACCTACATATATCCCAAAAAATGCCATTTAGATATCTTCAGCAAATCAGAAGCTATGGTCCGGACAATGAACTTGACCTTTTAACTAATAAGATTTTGACCTTGAAAGTATAGACCTCAAAGTGGTATGCAATATACTATCTTGCAATTCCACATATACTCTTAAACTTTCATTGAGTTATCTTCAGCTAGTCAACATTATCCTCGGGTAAAGAATTTGAGCTTGTACAAGACAGACCGTCTCGTCGTCCAGCATATCTTCTTATATTTCATTGAATTATCTTCAGCAAGTCAGAAGTTATGGCCCCGAATAGACGAACAGAATGACGAACGGTCGGACAAACAAAGTTAATCTTTTGCCACTGACAACGATCGAAATAATTAATTGAATGACAAGTGCCCTATTTGGGAGTCGAGGATGATTGTAGATTCACTTGGGGAAAAAAAACACTAAATGGTTGCATTTCGGGACTGTGGTATTTTCTGGGTCAGGTTTGCTGTGGAGGTTTTAGTTTTTTTTTTAACTTTTAGGAAAAGATGCAGCCCGAATAAGTTTGTTTTTTTCGGTTGTAGTTATTTTGTTGGGATCAATGTTAATTTATCTATCGCCATATCGGGTTCTTACATACCTTTTTGTCGTTCAGATTCCTCCAATTCCGCGCGCAGTGTAGCTATTACAGAGACATACACTTATATTTTGCAACTTAGTTATATGTCTGTGCACTTAACTCATTTATTCAATATTTGTTCAAAGTTCATAATCTTTTGACCAACGACCAAAATAATTTATTGAATGCTTTGTGATTGTTTTGAAGTTAATATTCGAGATCAACATAGAAATAAAATAGTTTAAAACATAGTGGTTAACAGTCAATTGAAGAAAGTGCTTCTTTGAAAATATCTCTGAATGAGAATTCAGAATATGCAGCAAACCATACTTTATTCTAAATCCACTAACATACTTACCATTACAGATATTCAAGTTAAGACTTGGACAAACAATTTGACCTCAGAACTTAATAAGACTCTGACCTTGGACGTATGGATCTCCTTGCCATTCTTATCATATCTATAAAATTTCATTGAGCTAACTTCTCCGGTACAGAAAAAAAGCAAGGAAAGTTCGGTCAATTTTTGACCTCAATGTGACTTTGGCCTTGGGTGTATAGACCCAACAAAACCTGTGCGATACACTGTCATTCAAACCTACATAAAAAGGCATTTAGATATCTTCAGCATATAGGAAGCTATGGTCCGGACAATGACTTTGACCTTTCAACTTATGAGACTTTGACCTTGATAGTATAGACCTCAAGGTGGTAGGCGATAAGCTGTCTTGCAATTCCACATATACTTCTAAAATTTCATCGAGTTATCTTCAGCTAGTCAACAGTATCTTCTGGTAAATAATTTGAGCTTGTACAAGACAGACCAAATCGTCGTCCAGCATATATTCTTATATTTTATTGAATTATCTTCAGCAAGTCAGAAGTTATGGCCCCGAATGGACGAACGGATTGAGAAACGGTCGGACGAACAAAGATAAATATATCGAAAATATCGAAATAATTAATTGAATGGCAAGTGCCCTATTTAGGAGTCGATGATGATTATAGATTCACATGGGTAAAAAAGACCTAATTGGTTGCATTTCGAGACTGTGGTATTTTCTATGTCAGGTTTGCTGTGGAGGATTTAGTTTTTTTAACTTTTGGAAAAAGATGCAGCCCGAATGAGTGTTCCTTTTTTCGGTGATAATTATTTTGTTGAGATCAATGTTAATTTACATATCTTCATATTGAGTTCTTACATACCTATTTGCTGTTTATCTTCCTCCCGTCCCGCACGGAGTGTAGCTGTAAAAGACTCATACACTTATATTTTGCTTGTTTATATGTCTGTGCACTCATTCATTAAATATTTGATTAAAGTTCATAATCTTTTTCCACTAGCAACGATCAAAATAATTTCTTGAATGCTTTGTGATTGTTTTGAAGTTAATATTCGAGATCAACATAGAAATAAAATAGTTTAAAACATAATAGTTTACAGTCAATTGAAGAAAGTGCTTCTTTGAAAATGCCTCTGAATCTGGATAAAAGTCCTAGTTTAATTTGAACCAGTGGAAACGTGTATACCTTTCTCCTGTTCGTCATCCTCAGATTTCCTCTGAAATTCTTTACGAGTCCATGCTTTTAGGAAACATAAAATGAAATTTTAGAATGTTTTATCTGAACTCATTCAATTTGCTTCAAATGTTTTTGAAATCATATGAGTTGTACAATGTATCTAGTTGACGTTTTACTATTGAAGGTAATGCAAAATTGAACCTGTTATATCGTCGCATTTGTTTTTAAAACACAGTCAATAATAAGAAAATTGAAATATATCCAGTAAGTTTAAACCATGGTGACCATCTCATTAATAAAATTTGGCTAATGGTAGCATCATTTTAACATATATATTGCCCCCATTGAACTTTAAAGCATTGCATAATAATCAAATGGGATAATTGATCACTGAAACTATTTCCAATCTTAAGTCTATCACAATAAATTATAAACCAAATGCCATGTCTCTAAGCTTTAGAATAATATGAGGATTGTATCACATTTTATCTCGAAATTTAAAAACGGACAATCATTCAAACCAGCAGATTATCTGTGTCATTAATTAAGCTCACAGACACTTCGTGTCAGGTGAGCAAAACACATGAAAATATTACATACGTTGGCCTTTTGTTATGCTCCTGATGCAGTCGGTAGTGTCCTTAACTATTTTCGCGGCATCAACATGTATTTGTTTGATATCTCCGATTACTTTGTCGTAACATCCGTATGAAACTATTCCTTTCGCCATTAATGTTTCAAAGAGGATCCCTACATGAGTGACGCCATTTCCATATACCGAAGCATAATCTAAATGCTTTCGCATTAATACACAGAGATCATCCCAATTTTTTTTACATGATGGCGTAAAATATCCAGCTAATTCTACTATCATATCGCCATGTAAGTCCTTGACCTGATGATTCACGGCTTCATCAAAAGAACATCTTTTCTGTTCTGTCTCTGATTGCTTTGCTGTGTTCTGTAATATAGAATTGACAGTAGTAAAAGTATGGAATTTCTGCCTTGTCTTTTATGACACATGATTGCAGCATACTAGCAGAAGGATGTACATTTATTATCTATTGGCACTTTGTTTTTGAAATTGAAATCACTAAATGTAATTCTTAAGTTGAATGATGCTTCAATGATATAACAGCACGAGTCTTATCGATTGTAACAGATTCGAGGAGTAGAATAATCTATTAATTTGAATTAGTAAAGCACCTGAGAAGTTAATAGCAGCTTAAAGTAACTTTGGAATTGACGTTTCATTATTTCACAGTTAAAGTTATATATTGTTTTACGTAATCATCAAACTATGAACATGAATTAATTGCACTTAAAACTGTAATACTAACCCCAATCATTGCGTTCACCTATAAACTCTGATTTTAGACAAACATGACTTGAATAAATGCCATTTTCCATATCGATATGTAAGTATCAATTACGTTTTCAGCGATTATACCTGCGTGTTCCGGTCTTCATCCTTTGTGAATAAATACACTGCGACACATAACGAAACAGTTAACAGGCCTCTTTCGATCAAACATGTTTCCAAATTGACAAATCCGCCTAGTGCCTTAATGAATGAAGTAGCTGGTCCGGGGTTTGGATGTATGCCTTGCGACACAAGGAGCTCCTTTATAAACTTGAAAGACCCACATGTTTTATCGATATTGATAAGCGAAGTTTTGCAGGGCTTATCCACGTTGCGACTAGAAGGAAACAGCTCAACACGGGGTCTGAATAATTCAAGGTCAACTCCAATGATAACCTAAAAATGCGATGTCGAATCATTAATTTAGTATTAACAAAAGACATCATGTCTTAAATAATCAATCACAAAATACCTATTCAATAATTAAACAAATCCATAATTGACCTTTATATAATTAGAATGTGTTTTCTGTAAAGCCACGTGTGCAAACGATTATTATCGAATCCTATTAATCAGGTGTACACAACCGTGACAATAGGGAATATACATTATAGCATTACGTGGACGAGCAAACTGCTTAATTATTATTGTCATTCGAACAAGCCGAAACAAAATATATCAAATATTTTTCGTGTTTGTAACGACAATCAAATGCGGCTTTAATGTGAAATATAAAATGTATAGACAATTAGTTAGCAGTTAGTTATCTTCCTTTGTTGATATGTTATTTTAATAGTGTTATTGCAGATTGTGTTTGTTTCTTCATGCCAATCAAGCACATACTCATGCATTTTCTTACCATCAAACTGCAATCAGATAATCCCAACCAAGTGTGATCTCTTTTCCACTGAAAAGAAATGAAAATATACCGAAGACTGGTATTTCCCTTTATACCAACTATAGTAAACTTTACCCAGGGATTAAGCATCATGAATTCCATCAATGAAGAGTATTTAGTTCAAACATATCTTGGACTAAAGAAGGTTATTAAAAATTGACCAATTTGACCCCTTTTGGCTCCGCATTGAAATGACAAATATATGTCTTGATGCGACGAGTGAAACGATGCTATTTAAGGTAGATACGGATTTGATTACTAATGTATGAAATTTGAAAAATCAACATGAATTTTCATTGTACTACAAAGTGTATAACAAAAAGCTATACATCAATTTATATAAGACCCACTCTTTACCATACGATGGATTTTAAGCACCATTCAGGAGGATTTGGAATTACGAATTTCGGAAATAAATATTTTGATCACAACACCTAAATTTGTATAACTTAAAAGGGCGATAGAAATGGGGGTGGGGGATGGGTGGTAACTGATGATGAAGCTATCTAACAACTATAGTTGTTTTAATTATCTAAATAAGAAGCAAATCACAGGTTCTGAGTTGACAAAAAAACAAACATTCTAATATTGACTGTGTACTATTGGTACTGTCGGCAGGCCTTAAACAGGTTGGACACAACTACTCATATGAGTAGCAATCTATCTTTCAGGTAAAAGTTACAGTGAACAGTAACAGTTTTATTAGTAAAATGTGGATTAAAGAGAAATAAAACCACATAATAGTATTTTTAAGTTATGAGCAATGAAAGGCGATATTCTTTTCAACATTTTCCAATAACTCATAAGGCAAGGTACAATGGTGTTTGTTCACTTAACCCCTCGCGTCGACTGACCATAGTGTAAGACGACGATAAACACTTAAGCAACCAACCAACTTCACTGCATACCCAATTTCCGTTATAAAATTGTTATTGTAAACAGTATATGTTACCCAGATGCAGAAATATTACCCATATGAAAAATTGTGCCCGACATGCTAGATGAAATGTTCAAAAAACATAGCCAGTAGTCATAGCCAAAGAGGATGGTCTTACTGAAATGAGCATCGAAACCAGCTAGATCGTCGGGGTATATAGGTTTTAATATTCGGTTTAATATCAACATAAGAATCAGAACATTACCTTGACATACTATCTTCCCTTATATTAAATGCGTACGATCATTGTGAGTTATGAGCAATTCACATATGTTTCCTTTTCCTACCAACAAGTAATTATAAATGTATATCATGGAACGGCGCGTTCCATGCAGGTATCAAACCACAATCAATTTTGTTTATGCTCAAACTGGAAAACATTTTAAAAAATGGTCCTTTTTTGTTTAAAAGTTTGTTTAATTGTATAGCTACCGAGTAATTCGGTTATCTAGCAGACATATTCACCCCGCTTTTTCTATTCCGGTCGTGTCGGATTCGTCTTTGGTTTTACAAGTGTTGAATGTCCTTGTCAATTCTCACTAAAACTATTATTAGACAACTGGTTCCTTCCTTATTTTCTATCAAAATAATCCAGGTTGTGACGGTAACACCGTTCGGAACATGGTTATTGAATGCACCCCTAAAACGTCATTCTGTCATTGGTCGTGACTAAGGATGTACATGATAAAGACGTTTTTGGCGAAGAACATAATAGACGTTCTGATAAAATATAATTTCCTATCAGGCTTAAAATTGATTTTCACTATCAAAATCTTCCAACGACCAAAACGTTTGGAATTATTTGTATTATATATATGCATTTGGGATCAAACTTAATTTGGTAGCCTTGTGCACTGGAGTAAACAAGAAAAGTTAACTCCAGTTCACTAGCTTGTGCACAGGGTAAACATTGAAGTGAACTGGAGTTCACATTGATGTGATCAGTTTATACAACCTATGATCTTCTCCCATCCCGACTGCTCAATAAATCAATAAAATATTATAGTTAACCTATTTATATACTTAAAACGAATTTAAACAGTATCCTTTGATGAAAATATCATAATAGCTATAAACCGTGATAACCTATTTTAAAAAAAGGATGGTACATGTATATACATGTATTGGTAGTTTAAAGTTTAAAATACTTTGCTCAAAGACATAATCAACATAACAGTTCATCTAAAGTAATAATAGTATTACGTCTGCATAAAATATATAAATCTATCGTTATATTGATTAGTAATTGATAGTAAATCATCAGGTTTTACTCCGTATATTGATTGTGAAAAAAAGATAACTACATGTATTGTGAATTAGAAAAAACTTTAAAACTTTCTAAAAATATAATGTTTGTCATCCACTCAAAATAAACACCTAATGGTAGTGTCAGTCGACATGGTAAGATCATCTATCCGAAGCGTGATTTATGTATAAAGAATACAGGTGTCATAGTGATATAATATATATATGTGTAATTCTGTTGGTTTCTTTTTATAGATTAACCATAAATGATAACTGCCCCTAGTCCTTTGGTAAAAAAAAAATCAAGAAAAGATTTGAGTGTAAGTTTTCAAAACAGTGCTTACATTCATTTATTGCTTTAATTTAACCTTCTCATAAACAATCCCGTTTTATTTTGAATTTTCAAAATTTAAATAAAAAAATCCGTTTTGCAACACCTGTGCCCTGCGGCTGTTATGGACCACTGACCGTACAGGTACAAAAAGCTCTAGCATGGTTCAGTGACCCAATAATTGATGCTGGGGTGTGTTATCAGTTAGTGTTGACTGTTTATAAACCATTTGAGAGGATAAGGTAGTGTAAAGTTTTGAAATCGAATTGTGACTGCCCGAGACTGTCATTTCCTTACAAAGGAACTGCCACAGTATCTTACCTGTAAGTGTGTACTGATTTACCTGTGTATCTACTGTACAGACAATTGGCTGGATTAATTGCCTTCACTCAAGGTGTTCAATATTTTAGGTACATACTCCCATGTGACCACAGGTGAATGGTCAGTAGGTGGCGATTGCCAATATATCCTAAGGTAGATATCATATTGAAAAGAAAAATATGTGTCAGTGGATGGTTACAATGCCCTAGCCAATTAACCATCTTTAAATCTGCCACTGCAGCAAAGTTGTAATATAACAATATGATTAAAACTTTGTGTTTCCTGTGAAACTTCATTGGTCTGGTTGTTTATTGTAAATCGATCAACTTCTATAATTTTTGTACATGTATATAACTTAACCTACAGGTGCTTGCACCCTACAACTATGAATGTTGGAATAATTTTAACAAATGGCAATTCATTACTGTACCACCATGCCAGCTTTACCTGCTACACTGGTGAGGGGAACACAGTAGACCCAGGGGAGGGGTGGTGGATGGGGGATGTATTTTCTAGTTTAAGCAGCATGTACATGTACCTGACGTGTATACATACATAACAAAGAAATCGCAATCAGACTAACTCATTTTGTTTCCAAATTTTCCTAAAAGAAGGCAACTTGAGATTAACAAACTTATGTTTATTACAAATATTTAGCTTTATCTTTTATCTCTATAGTGCCATGCTTTTGCACAATAAAGCATATGTTTAAGTACTGTATACCAGATGGAACTAATGGGGCCTTTGGCCTTTTTCATAAAAAAAGAAGCGAATTATTCTATTGATGTCGTGTTATTGAGAAACCTTTCATAAAAATGATAACAAAGTTTACCACATCCGACCATATCACATAACATATACTGATCCCCCATCCTGACACTACAACGCTGATATGAAATATGATGTGAGTTTTACTATGATCATGTGTAATCTTAAACATTTTTCCACTGAAAAAGTACAGCTATCTATAGATTTTCTTAAATCGCCAGAGATTGTGTATAATTTCTCTTTGTACAATTTACGTGCATATATGTTCAGTTTAGATTTTGAATAATCAGGAAAAATGTGTGTATTGCTATTATGAAATATTAAATTAAATGATTTTTTCCTTTTTCGTTCAATGTCTTATCATGAAGGAACCCATTGTCATTATAAACAATTATTAACAAATATGTACTGAAGTCTTTTAAGCTTTGGTAAACAATGTTGTGCACTGGAGGTAACATTGAAGTTATTACAGGTATTTTATTTATT